GAGCAGTCACTGCCTTCTCTGCTACGGTGTTTTCCTGTGAAGACAACAGCAGGTCAGCTTTGTTGAGCCACCCCTATGTTATGCTGATCATCTGCTGCTGTTGCGTGTACTCTGTGGCATTGAACAATGAAAAGAAGACATGACAGATCAAGACTTTTTGTATAGAGGGAAATTAGTGTTTTTGTGGAATCGAAATGGAATGTAGCACAATTGGTACCTAAAAAAAAAGCCCTGAAAAAACGAACAGAGACTGTTCATGGACAAAACTCAAGTAAATAAACAACAAATTCATACCAAAAATCCACTAGATTTAGATTTAATTACAGGCACTTAAAAAAAAGTGAAGCAAAATTAAAATTGAATAATGCCCCCCCCCCCCCCCCCCGCGCGCCACGTGTAGGCCTACACGTGTCTGTATTGTATGGATGTTAACTTGTAAAATAGTATAAATGTGGTAGGCCTACATGTGTTTGTATGGATGTTAACTTGTAAAATAGTATAAATGTGGTAGGCCTAGATACATGTGTTTGTATGGATGTTAACTTGTAAAATAGCATAAATGTGGTAGGCCTACATGTGTTTGTATGGATGTTAACTTGCATAAACGTGGTAGGCCTACTTGTCTGTGTATGGATATATTTATTGTACATAACTTGGTAATGGTAGGCCTACTTGTATGGATATATTTATTGTACTTAACTTGGTACCGTAGGCCTACTTGTGTCTTGTGTTATGCTGTTTGCTCATTTTACATAATGCGATTGGACTACGTGTATGGATGTTGAATGGTGTGAAGTAATGATTGTTGTGCAAGAGCGGCAAGAAGTATGAAAGGGAGAACTTGAGAGAGAGTGAAACTCTTTTGTACATAAGTTTATCACTGTTTTGCTTGACCACGCCCATTATTGTGTCAATAAAAACTGCCATTATTGTTGTGACAATCTTTGTCCTGTTTTTGTCTCCTTTGTTGAGTGTGAAGAAGAAAGTTGCATTGTGTTACTCTGTAGATCCAGCTTCCTTGGTGTAGCTGTAAGTGTAAGGTGCTTCACGGCCGCATGCAAGCAGAAGATGCGAATTCGATTTTTTTTTTTTTCTTACGGCACCTGCAGCTGAATAAAGTCATATGAGCACGGGGGACACAAACATTTTTCAGTTGGTAGGGAATTTTGAATTTTGCCCAGATGGCAGAGTGGGTAGTTGGCGGGTGCTCTGGTGTGGTTTGCTCCTTCTTTCCTGTCAAGCATCTGTCGTCCTTATCTCCCCTCCTTTTTTTGTGTATGTTACTCTCTAAGTCTCTTGTAACACATAATCTTTTCTTCGTGACTTATATGACCTCATTGTGTTGCAAGTGCCGTAAAACTCTTACTCAATCTAAAACCAGATGGCGACCGAAGTCTACTCTTATCGATTTTGGACCACCAAGGTATGTTTAACGTGTGCAACTTGCACTCAGGACCTCCGAGATTTTTCGCCCTTGTCCAAGAAGGCGTGTTGTATATCTTTCCTTTCATAAGATCAAGGGTGTGACTGAAAGACAGCAGTAAAAAGGAGCCAATGAGTAGCAGAAGAAAGACTGCAGAAAGAGTCAGGAGCCCAGAAGAGGCAGCAAAGGAGGTGTGGGGGGTGGGCAGGGTTGGGTTGATTTAAATCAGTTGATTTTTTTTATTTAAATCAACTTGATTTTTTAAATAAAAATCAGTGATTTAAATCACTTTTTTTTAAATTTATTTTTATTCAGTTTTTACATATTTCAACATTCAGAATTCCCTTCCTTGGTTTCATAAAACAGATATAAGGTTAAGTAGACTAATATAATTCATGTTTAAAAGTCTGCTTTCCCACCTTTCACTGTAAAATAATACAGTATTCAATTTACTTTTTTTTCCATAATTGAAATCAGAGCTGGGTTGATTTAAATCAGTTGATTTTTTAAATATTTCAATCAACTTGATTTTTGAAATAAAAATCAGTGATCACTCTTTAACAAAAGTATTCAGTTTTTACATATTTGAACATTCAGAATTCCTTTCCTTGGTTTTATTAAACATATAAGGTTTAGTAGACTAATATAATCATGCTTAAAAGTCTGCTTTCCCCCTGTCACTGTAAAATAATACAGTGTATTCAATTGACTTTTTTTTTCATAATTGAAATCAGGGTTGGGTTGATTTAAATCAGGTCGATTTAAATGTTGATTTAAAAAAATTTTTAATCAACTTGATTTAAAAAATAAAACTCAGTGATTTAAATCATTTTTAAAAAATGTATTCTGTTTTTACATCTTTAAATATTCAGAATTCCTTTCCTTGGTTTTATAAAACAGTATATAAGGTTTAGTAGACTAATAAAATCATGCTTAAAAGTCTGCTTTCCCCCCTGTCACTGTAAAATAATACAGCATTCAATTTACTTTTTTTTCATTATTGAAATTAACATTTTCTTTTTCTTTTTAGACAAACACAAGCGCGTGCACACACACACACACTGTAATAAAATGCAAGTTTATCTATGCATAATTACCCCCCACCCCCCCACCCCTTCCTTTTAGACTGACATTTTCTTCATTTTTTGTCTGTAGCCATAATTCACTGATATATATATATATATATATATATATATATATATATATACTATTATATAGCAGATTAAGGCTTTCTTTTGAGGTTGCTTAATTTAATCATTAGTTAAATTTAAAAGACAATGCATTTTGCACTAAAAGAACATACTTTTAGCAACCAAAAATCCCAAATGTGTCGACATTTTTTAAAAAATCAACAAAATCAGATTTAAATTTAAAAAATCATGATTTAAATCAAAAAATCGATTTTTTAAATTTTTTTGAAAAAAAAAATAAAAATCACCAACCCTGGGGGTGGGGGCAGAAAGTGGAAACAAAAGCAGAGGACAGATCATTACTAGAGAGCAGAAAAGAAGGTGAAAGGAGACGATTTTTTTTTTGAGAAAACAAATTTCAGTCGCTATCCGGATTTGAACCCAGGACCTATTGAATGAGAAGTGAACACCTCTACTCTAGGCCACAAGAGCCCCCAATTCAATTCTGTGAGAAATTTTTTTCTTCCTCAAGTGTCACCATCAATCTGCCTATCCCTCTCAGCAGGGGTTGGCATTGACAGATCGCGTGGAAGCAGCCCATCTCCTAAATGATTTAAAAATTGTCGCCAGGACCGTAAAATTTATTTTGATTGGGAGCATTATAATTTATAGAGCAGCACTAAATTTTCCTCCGATTTTGTCTCCCAACTTTCAGTGGGGTGTGCCATTACATTACACAGACGAGTACATACCGTACAGAGTTTACACTGACGCATGTACAAGATGGAGTCATCAAACTTAAATGAGCTTTTGATTATAACGGATGTGCAGAAATTTGTAGTCCTTTTTTTCTATGTTAGTTTCAATAATATCCAGAAGAGTTTTACGTCTATCTCAACTATCTGGTATCATTCTGATGTATGCTAAACACTTCTCTTCCAGAAGAGACGAAGTCATTTTTACTCGATTTCGCATCGGACACATGGCCCTGACCCACAAATACCTCCTACAGGGAGATGAGAAGCCGTTCTGTGTCGGATGCGACACAGATTTTACCATTAGACACATCTTAACCGAATGTCTAGACTTTGGAGAGATCCGAAGGAAATATTATAAATGCAAGAAATTGCAATGAATTTTAATATTTTAGCATTTTAAAGTCTAATTGTCGACAAACCGTGCAGTGAACTGTTACGAATGCTACCAACTTGTGTTTCGCACGCTCATATGACCTTATGCAGTTGCGAGCGCCGTAAAACCCTGTACTACTACTACTACTACACTTCTCTTCATCACTTAGAAATCTTAGATTCTTAGAATTTGTTGCATAAGATGATGGTGCTCACCAAAAGTTTCTCTATGTTGAAAAATTGGATGCATCCAATACTGTCTGCTATTTGCACGTTTGCTTCTATTTTTAGCCACAATACGAGCTGCAATGCTTCCATTGTTCAATAGTGTTGTCTTTTATCGAGCAGTAACGAAAGATAAGCGAATTGATAGTAAAATGTTCTACAACTACAACCATTTTGCTCACATCTAGCTTACCAGTTGATAGAAGTACTGAAATTGAGATGTGCACGTATAACAAATGGTTACACTGTGTTACGCACTTAGAGCATGTTCACTTTCGTCTGACCACAATTAAAACGATAAAATGAAATTGCTCTGTTTTATTTTCTCAGATCTCTGCATGCGGATCTAAAAGTTGCATGACCAACAGAATTTAAAAGCCTGATTCATAAAGGTCACTGCAAACTAGGGTGCTGACACGTTTTCTTTGATGTAAGCCTACAGCGGGTCAAAAATTTAATAGGGGATTCACGGCATACACCTAAAACAATTAAAAGTTGACATATTTTCCTCAAAACCACTTTAATGTTCGCCTTAGAAACACGGGTGAAAAATTTTCGAGACTCACGTGGAAACGTCTAGACAGCAAGTGGATGAAATCTACTAGCTTACAACTTACACTGAAATGTGGGGGTAGGGTGGTGTTGCTGTCTCAAATTAGCATTATTTGTAGGCACGGTTACTGTGTAAGTTTAAGTCATTTATTTTAGTGATCCTGTGTATGTATCCAATGAGCTTTTTCTAAAAGAGGGCCCAAAGAGAAAAACTCCTGTATTACTGGACCAAGATTTTTTAACAAAATATTTTTGCTTGGTCGCCGGCCCGCAGAAGAGGTACATAACATAGTGGCATGCACAGTTTTTGTGGGCATAAGTAAATTAATAAATGAGCTAGAATTTTTTCAACAGAGTCAAATGAAAGTGAACAAGCTATAGTTGGAATTAGATCATGTAAGTGCTGAAGATTAGAGGTGTTGCAAAAGAATAACAAGAAGGAGAGATCAGGACAATAGATATTTGATATGAAAGAAAGAGCAAACCATACAAGAGCATCCGCCAACCACTCACCAGAAGTTCAGACAAGTGAATACATAATTTATGATCAAAAACAATTTATTCAGTCACCAATGGCGAGTTTCAAGAAAACATAAGCACAATTAGATGTCTACAAAATGGCTGACTTGAAAGTAGAGTCAAATTGCTTCAAGCGGTGCCTCAGATTTCCTCAGATGTTAATTACAATGTATCATTAAAACTAGCAAAACGAAATATGAAAGGCTGGCAACACTATAGGAACAATGGAATTTCCTGTCATTCTAGAAAAAAAAAGGAACAAAGTTTAAAAAAATTACAAGTACATCTGCGAAGTGGTGGAATATGTCAATTTGACTTGTATTTTATAAACACTAAACAACAATAGAGAGAGCGAGCATGCACGTTGGTGCACAGAGGTTGGGGTGACTAGGTCCACTTGTGAAAAGAACAAACAAAAAAGTTGTTCAAGTGGAATTACCCTGGCAATCCTGAAGTCAACTTACTGTCACATTTCCAATCCGGTACTGAACTCAAAGCAGCTGTGTTTGTAACCCTTTATTTTTTTTAATTGATCGCGAAAAACACTGGCAGCTTATCAATTTTATAGAGACAAGCTGATACAATATCTGGACATTAAAAAGAATGATTTGAGTAAAGGCACAATTTCGTTCAATCCAATATCATGTGACACCTTCAGGCGTGGTGCATCTGAGGGTCTCGAGTTTTCAGATGGCGTCATGAGAACCTTAGGCAAAACTAATATAAATAAGACAAGTCAAGCTTTCTGCATTTGTATGCAGAGATGAAATGATAAGTAAGTAATTCTTTACCTAAAAGATGACTGAACCATTTAATTAATTATTAACAAACGAAGGTACATGTTTGTTGATGACGCAATATTATGATACATTTACTAATTCTAGTCATTGTTTCTAAAGTTAGATAAACGAGAAAGGTCGACAAGAGGCAATGTTATCAAAAAGACCCCCACCTTATTTACTATACTCAGTGCCATCTACATGTCAGGACTATAATTATGATCTTCTTGTTATACAGAACAGGCTAGACAGAGCATCTGATAAATCATGAGTTAGGCATATATGCGAAATGAGCACAGTATTTGGGTTCTCATTGTCTTTATTTAACGCAGGCCTGGGGATGGGGGTGGTGTTCTCATGATTATAGTACATTTTTTGTACATGATTATTTATTGAAATAACAAAGACGTATGTGCTGAATCCAACATCATCATACACTTGTCCAGGATGACAAAAATCAAAGCAGCCAAATCACGGCAGCAAGAACGGAGGCTCAACGAGAGACGTACACCAGTCTGGTCACAGGAATGAGCAAATCAAAGAAAACGTTCCTGGTCTCACCAGCTAAACACAGCTATGTAAGTAAGTATATAAGACAAATTGGATATTGAAGGAGAGAGAAAAGTGCGTTACTAGCCTCCAAAAGAGGCTACTACGAAGCTGAGACTTCTATTCAAAAAAGCAAACCAAAAACAAAAAAAAAGAATTGAAAAAAAAAAAAAATTAAACCTTACAGAAGCCTCAAAGCTGACAACTATGATTGATGGTTAACCTTTGATGTCCCCCTCAACAAAATTTGATACATTTGGGAGGAGGGTTCCAATGTCATCACCAACCTAGGCTGTGTTTGAACATAACGAATAACAGTTTGTCCAGCAATATCTGACCATGACCAATGTATCTGCAGATGAAGAATATAATTTCTTTTTTTTTTTAAGGAAGGAATAACAAGATGGTTTATGGCTTCTGTTATGGCCAATGAGACCAATTCTGAAGAATTTTGAACATTCACCCTTAATCCTAACCATTACTAAAAGTCACTGTCAGTGGCACAATAAAAAAACAAACAAAACAAATCCATAATCTGTCAGAATTTAAGCAGCTGCAATCAAGCTCACAATGAAGGAGAGGAAAGTAGTCGACTTTCACTTTCTACCAAATTTTCTCTCATCTCCTGCCCGCTAATGGTGGCATAGGGCAATAAAGGGCAAACAATGCATCATATTTTTCACATTAAATTTAAATAACATTGAAATCTTCCAGTTACTGCCATTTTCCCAGCTCAAGAAATTCTCTCAGACTCGAGTTATGACAAAAAGAATTTCACACTTTAGAACAGTAAGAGCAATACAAAATAACGTTGCTCCCATAAAAGCTTATATTTTGTACAAGTTCAGAACACAGCAGTGAATCAGTAGAGCACACAGGTACAAAATTGCTGTAATAATAAATGTAATCATCAGTTTCCCCATCTGTTTTTCTTTGCCTGTTCCCACCGAGCGGCACTCACAGGATGACAGAGTGATACACAGCTGGGGCATTCCCTATACTAATAATTTTCTTCTTCCTCCTTCTCGATGACAGCAGCTAGATAGTCCGTCCAATGTCGCGCACAAACTGAGCAGTCCGCTTCAAATCTGAGAGTCTGTCACAGAGCTTTCTCTCAAGGGGAGTCACATTCTGCCTATGCTATAAATATCATAAATAAAAATAAACAATGTACAAAGCAGACAACTGAGGAGTCTATAAATCAGGCTCAAGCAAGACGCGCTAATCTTGTAATTTAAGTAACGTTTCCACACCGGACGTAATCGTTGCAATCTCAGCAGTCAGCTGCTCCATCTGGGGGAAAAAAAAGGAATATATATATATAATATATACTGTTGCCATCCTATCAAATTGTTCATGTTTTGAAAAATTTGAAAAGGCACCATTTGATAGGTACAGACTATCACTGGGCGAAATTAAGTAACCAAACCTCAAATTCTCCTCAAAGTATTTTTGTTCCAATTCAGCTTGGTAAGAGTTTTACAGTGTTTGCAACTGGATATGGTCAAAGGAGCATCATGGGACTCAAGTTGGTTGTTTTCACATAAGTTCATAGCCCGACTTGATTTTGCTCTCTTTTTTAAGGAAATGGTTCATGTAATTTTCAAATGGGACCTGACCTGACCATCAATGATTTATTTATAGAGGCACCAGCCATCCATGTCCAGGTGCTGTTTTAGCCTCTTTTTCCTGTATGCGGATTAATAATACCTTTTTGCCAATTTATTGGTTCCGCTTCTATGTAGGCCTACCCCATATCTATGGTTCTCAACCTGGAAATCGCCTATAAATTCGCCGTAATTTTGTGTTTGTTCAAACGCGATACAAAGCTCAAAATGAACAGAACACAGAGTAAAAAAAAACACCAATACTTTTTAGTGCATCAAACACAATACTGCAACTCATACTGAAAGTTGCAATCAGCGCTAAAAACTTACCTTTTTACTGTTCTCTGTGCGCACATTTTCTGGTACTTTGGCCTCGTAGTCCGACTTGCTTGCGTCTGTGGTCAGTTTCCCCAGTTTCTGGTTCAGTGACTCTTTCTTGCTCTGCAGCTTGGCGAGTTCTTTGGGAATATCAATCTGGCCCTGGTGGACAAACGCAAGACATTTTTGGATTGCGAGAAGTAACTCATTTTGTCAGCATGCCTCACAAAAATGTCAATCAAACATTCAAACATTGTAACCTGAGTGTTTTGTCTACTGGAATTTTTTGGGTGCAAGCAGTTAGCATTCAAGGGGTTAAAACCAGAGTTACATAGGTCTTTTCTGCAAAAAGCTGTGCTTCAAAGCCCCCCCCCTCTCAATCTCTCTCTCTCCGTCCCTCCCCCAGCTCACCACATATTCCACCACTCACCTCCTACACGCACCCACTCACAAATATAATGTTAACTCATCTTCTGAGTGTTAAGTTTCGTTTTGGTAAGAGTTTTACAGGACTTGCAACACAATTGTCACATAAGTGCTGAAGATTGGAGGCGCTACTAGAGAGTAACAAACACAAAAAAGAAGGAGAGGTCGAAGTGTGATCGAAAAAAAAGGAGCAAACCACACTGGAGCATGCATCAACCATCCAACTTCTGAGATTAAACACATTACACCCTAAAGGTCTGGACGAGAAGTCTATTCCTAAATCCTAAGCAAGAGGAAGGAACCCATCTCCAGTAAACACAGGCATTTAAAAAACACATTTTAAAAATACTAAACAAATTTTAAAAGTCCTTTAAAAAAAAAAAAAAAATTTACAAAGAGAAATAAATGTAGTTTCAGTTTCAGAAAAATATAACTTTATACATCCACAATTATTGGAAAAGTTATAAGTTTAGTTCAATCAGGGTGTCTGACCTTCCACTCTCACTGTTAGCCTCCTGGTCGAGCCCTAGATCTTAATTCTACATCTGATCAATCAGAATCGCCCCAAACTCTTGCTACAACGTTTTCATCAATATCTGACTCATCTAATTTGTCATATGCTTGTTATTGCTCAAATCCATCATTATTTCCCTTTTCAAACTCAATTGTGCTGCTTTTCAACAAGCTGAGACACCTTCGAAGTGTTGGAAACACGATCGCACTTCAATTGGCTCTATTACTAAAACTACTGGCCCGAAAAATTTCTCTTCGATATCCAACAGAAGAAACATTTTGCACTATGTAAAACAAAATCTGAGCCCCAGAGTCTTGTCAAGGCAAGACTTCGTTTCTAAAGACGCCTGATCGGAGCGGGCGATTCCGGGTGAATAAGGGTGGAGCACGTAAGGGTGTAATTGTAATGTGTTAAGACACAAAACTGAAAAGCCAAGATCACCTTCAGCATGAGATGCGTCTCGCAGCGCGCTGACACGGTGGACATGGCACAGCCGCTGGGCGGGTCCGTCGTCGAGCAAGAGATAGAGCTGGTGTTGCACATGGTGGAGATCAACTCCTCGTAGCTCCCCAGCATCTGGGACGTTGCGTCGTCGGCACATTTCAGGTACACTGTGGAGCACGGGGGCAAGAATGGGATTAATAATAATAAGGATACAAAAAAACATTTTTTTTAAAATCCAGAAGTGAAGAAAAAAAATGCAGCCTTTAGAGAATTAAGAAAAAGATCAAAGAAGACACAGAGATATTTGTAAGAGTTTTACGGAACTTGCAAAACAGTTAGGTCAAAAAGTGGCGAAGATTAGAGGTGTTACAAGAGAGTAACAAATTATATAAAAAAGGAGGAAGAAAAATAATGACAATAGAGATGTTTGACAGGAAAGAAGGAGCAAACCACACCAGAGCACCCGCCAACCATCCACAAGCTGTGTTAAGAGAATTAATGATAGCATTTGTATACCACAAATTTCCACTCAGCTGCAAGCTTTATGCGCTTTACAATCTGTATTACAACCTCAGGAGACCTGATTGTAAAATGAAACAAGCTCAACTTCCTGACTTGCACACAATGCAAGCTCCCATTTTACAGTAGGCGATAAAACACTAACATACTGACAAGATATTTTGCTACCTATGACTAGGTACAGATACAGAGAACTTTGACAGACAAGAATAGCCACTGTAGCAGACGGACTGGGAACACAACATAAAGATTATGCAGTCAAGGAGGTCAGTCCTCTAACATTGCTACAGCTGCACACCTTCAATCTTGGTCTTGGGTGGCAGCTGATAGTCTGAGCGCATGGAGCGGATGCTCTTGATCACGTTCTGGACAAACTCCAAGTCTGCCTCCAGGGCTTCATTGTAAGGGATAGCCTGTAGAAACAGTGATGATGAAATGAATATATATACATTTTTCATGACCCACGAATGAAGTTTCATATACAAGAGCATGAATAACATATATGAAGAGCACAGGGGGAAAAACTGGCATAGTCACAAACTGAAAATCGTGAGGTTATCAATTTTAAACACTTGTTGACTCATAACTGTATTTTTGTTCAACTGTTGGTTGATAATTATTGGATGTTTGATTTCCCATTCAACAATCATAACAATAAACCACTAGTCAAACAAATATAAAGTAATGAGTCCACAAGCTTTTCAAATTGACATCCTCAAAATTTCCAGTTTGTGACTATGCCCGTTTTACCCCTCTGCTGTTCATTCTCTGCAACATACATTCTCCAACTATAATACTGTCACAGTTACTGCCCTTGATTTTCTTCATATTTCTCTATTTTATTGCAGTTTACTACAATTACGGACGTGTCAAACATAATAGTTGATCCCCAATGTGTTCGAGATATCCATGCTCGACATGACATAGTCAGGGTAAAAGTAGAGCAAAGACCATCTTGAGCACAGCAGCATAGGTTTAATGAGATGTGTCAGATACCTAGCATCGTTGGAACAGATTCCCCCCAAAAAGACTTGATAACATTTTGCCACTAGTAAGAACACAAACAGTACTAAACACCACCCCCCATAGCTGTAGCTTTACAGAAAATCTGTACTTTGACTTCTCACAAGCTGAGAAAATTTTCCATACCGCGTTCTGCTCTGGGTACGGAGTAACGCAGATGCTGGGTGGGGCGTCTTGAGTTCGCCACGGCAACCTCTGGAACAGCTCTTCCGTGACGAAGGGCATGAAAGGATGCAGCAGACGCAGGCCCTCATCCAGGCAGGTGAACAGCACGTTGCGACTGACCAGCTTGGCGTCCTCGTCCTCTCCTCGGATCAGCGGCTTCAGGGACTCCTGGGAAGCAAAAAGAAAATTTCAAGACACATAAAGTCAAACAAATAAAAATCGACAACAAAAAAGGATTACAAGTACAAGTCTTTCCCTGATATGACATGCTCAAATTCATATTTAAGAAAGGTTGTTGAAATTTATGTACTGTCTCTTGCATCATATCTAACATAATGTAAGTATACAGTACAAAAATTACAAAATATGACATTGCCACAAAACAAGTATAATTTAGTGTACTATATTTCTGTATTCTGGTTCACTAATTGACACTCACACACTGGTTTTCTTGAAAGTAGTGATACAGGGATAACACAGCAAGCGACTGTTACCGTTTATATTAATTAATACTAATATAAATAGCACTTGTATAGTGCAGTCTCACTCTACAGCAAGTTCTACAGGCAGTATCCTTGCAGATCCGATTCCATTTTGAAACAATCTCAACTTTCTGGGAAGTGGAAGCTGCCATTTTACAAGCACTACAACGCTAACATTCTGAACATTCTGACAAGATCTTTTGCCGTCTGTATCCGAGTACCCATTTACATCTGGGTGAAGCGTTGAAAATTTGTGTAGAGTGCCTTTATCAAAAACAGTTTGGGATGAGCTGAGCCTCAAACCCACAAGGTCATGATAACTAGTTCAACAACAAAACCGTCAGACTGTAGACACCGAAGTCACCAATGGCAAAGACTCTGTTTAACTTTAAATAAGAACAAATTGACACAGCCAAGGCTTGAGGGGTGCATAACGTAAAACTTAAGTCCTGAAAAATGTGATCTGTTTTGGTGAGCATGAGACTAGTTAAGGATTGCCTTAAAAATGTTTATATATATATATGTGAGGTGTGCTAGCAAAATAAGTTACTTCTCACCATCTAAGAATAGAGATATCGGCCGAAAAATGACACTGGCGTCAGATTTAACGATTTTTCAATTGATGCCATTTTTTTTTTTTAAGTCTACCGTGTCGTTTATTTTTCCATACTTACAAACGGTACAAACTCCACCAATAAAGATGATGTATCAATTCCCATAAGGCTAAAATCTAAGAAATAACTCATTTTGTCAGCACACATCACATATTGTCTTTGTATGTGCCGCAGCCCAAGCACCCCACACCTATAAAAGTGAGCATGGCTAGCTAGATTTGTACACACCAGGTACCAATCACAGAGCTCATACAACCAGAAGTTGTACACAGCGGTGGTGGCAGCGGGGAAGTCGAAGCTCTCCATTCCCTGGTTCGCCAACTTGATGGCTTGCGAAAGTCGGCTCAAGATCCAGCGGTCCATCAGGCTCTCTTTGCCAGTCAGCTGGTGGTGCAAAATAAATAATATGTTAAAACATACCAATACTACACTACAGTCATTTTTTTTTTTATAGTAGAGGGTTTTACGGCGCTCGCAACTGCATAAGGTCATATGAGCGCCAAGGGGTGGGTGTCAACAGAGAAATCTTTACAGGGAATCAGACTTAGACGGCTCACCTCTCTAGCTTCAACAGCACAAGGTCTTCTTCGACTATCAAGGCACCCCAGAAATAGCAGGTCACAAGAGAGTGCAGAAAGAGTCAGGAGCCCAGAGGAAGGGGCAAAGGAGGTGAGGGGGTGGGGGCAGAAAGAGGATATGAAAGCAGACGACAGAACATTGCTAAAGAGCAGGAAATGAGGGAAAAGGAGACAAATTTAGAGAAGAAAATTTTTCGGTGGCTACCCGAATTTGAACCCGGGACCTTTTGAATGAGAGGCCAACACCTTAACCTCTAGGCCAGGAGAGCCCCCTTCTTATTGTCATTTATCTTGTGGTTATGAATTTTTTTCTTCTTTCCATATCTATAAAAAGGTACAATAAAGAGCAGATTTACAACCAAAATGGAAGGAATAATGTTCTCTAAATACACAAACCACAACAAAGTTAACTAAAAAAAGTTTTTCAAAGAGAGGATACAAGTTCCAGGACTGCTAGAAATAAAAGTTTAGTATAACCTACTAAAACTACTAACAGCCACACTGCACCCTGAACAATCTACAAAACAAAAGAAAGAAAAAATTCACAATAATTAGAAGCATTAGCCAACCGTTACTTACTTAACTTACTCTCTCCCTATACCATCAGGTACGAAAGGCGGAGAGCAGTCAACACCACGCTCGCCTGTCCCTGACCACGTTACGTTCTCTCCAATTTCAGCACTTCCAGGCCTTAGGTGATTGCCTCATCCCTTATAGTGCCTCTATAGCTTCCAGTTGATCTTCCTCATTTTCTTTTTCCAGTTGGTCTCCAATACCATGCTTGATAGGGCAATTTTGTCTTCGGCATTCTTAGAACATGTTTTAAATATCTCCATCATCTCCTTTATATGGTCATGTTGATATATTTAATTCCAGTTCTTTCCAACACTTCATTACTTGTAATAAATTAATTACATTTTATTAGTAAAATTCTTCGTATACTTTCATAAGCTCACCCTACGGTAACCAATCAACAACTTTTTGCCACAATACCTAGGCTGAGCTCACCTGTAGAGTTGGATAAGGCTGGAACCCCTCTCCCAGACTGGTGAGAGCAAACTTGGTGGCGTTCCACAACTTGTTGCAGAAAAACCTGTAGCCCTGGATGCGCATCACGTCCAGGTTGATGTCACGTCCTGCAGGCCAAGGAAAGAAGTCTCAGAGTCAAAGTCAGTCCTTACTTCACCATATTTGACATAATGTAGGTTATTCAAGACGATTGGGTTCTGAACTAATGCTCTTTCATTTGATTGAAGTCAGGACCCATGAAAATACGTTGGAAAATCTAGATTGAGGCATGTCATGACAGGAGCTGAACCAAAGTCACCAGCGTAATATTCAAGTGACTTTCAGTGCAGTCGAACCTGTGTGAGACGAAATAAAAAGGGAACCAGAAAAAAGATTCCGTGATTTGTCTTATATACAAGTAGAGAACCCCCAATTACAAACCTCTACCTTGGTCAAGCAAACAGAAACATTAAAAACAGACCTGATGATAACTGATAATACGGAGGCAAAGAGAAATAATAAATGGAGGAAAAGAGAAATGATAAATGGAGGAAAAGAGAAATAATAAATGGATGAAAAGAGAAATAATAAATGGAGGAAAAGAGAAATAATAAAAAGGAAAAGAGAAATAAATAAGAGGCAAAGAGAAATAACAAATAGAGGCAAAGGCCTAGAGTAATAAGGGATGACTGACTACCTGCATCATCACCGAAAACATAAATTCCAATAGCATTTTAAAAATTTCATGAAATAAAAACAAATAAGAGCCCAGGAAAAATGAAGAAAGAAGAAACAAACCACACCAGAGCACCCGCCAACCACCCACACTGTGACAAGAGACAGGTGATACATACCTTGTGCAGAATAGGCCACCAGGGCAAAACGTAGAGCGTCGACTCCACACTCTGGGATACCATTGGGGTAGTCTGCTTTCTGAGTGAGTGGAAAAATAAGTAGGGCCTATGTATGTAAGTAAAAACATTACGGACTAATAAACACAGTAGTCCTTCCTAATCACAGCGCTGGACACCACCATTCCACAATAGATTCAAACCATTCTCGGGCAAAGACAAAAAAAAAAAAAACTGCGCCTAGAACTCTTTAATTTTAGTGAAAGTTTTACTCCACTTGCTACACAATTAGGCCATACAAGTGCAGAAGATTAGAGGTGTTACTAGATAGTAACATACAAGTAAAAGAAGGAAGAGAGATAAAGATGATAGATGCTTGAAAGGAAATAAGTTTCTTATCCATATCGGCTATTCCAGCCCCAACAGTCACAACAAACAACAACGGCAACAAGTATCATAAACAGCAACATCAAATCTCTCATCCACATCGACCACCGGATTCCCAACAGTCACAACAACAACAACAAACAACAACAACCAACAACAAAAACAAACAATAACAACAACTAACAATAACAAACAACAACAGCAACAAGTCTCCTAACCAGAAACATGAAATCTCTCATCCATATCAACCACCGGATTCCCAACACAACAACAAACAATAACAACTAACAACAACAACAAACAACAACAACAACAACAAAAACAACAACAACAAAAAACAACAGCAAACTACAATAACAACGAACAACAACAACAGCAGCTGACAGCACCAGACAACCACACATGATTTCTCACCTGCCCAGCAATGGCAATCTTGACCTCTTTGTCCTCCAGGTTGTACCCTAACAGCTTCTTGTTCAGCTCCTGGAACAACCAGAGGAAACATTTAAACTTTGAGCCAGTACAGTCAGACCTGCTCTATCGGCCACCTGTTCAGAAGACAAATCACCCGAACAAAACGACCACTTCCCATTTCCTCCCTCGAATATTTTTTACATTATGACACTGTGTAAGACGACCACCTGTCGAAGACGAACATCTTTCTTTTTGACAGTGGACGGCCGTTGTCATAGACAGTTTTGGCTGTTTTTCCTTTTTGACTTTCAACCAAGTAAATATAATCTGGTAAAGTGTTTCAATTTCAGCTTCAGTGTGGTACAAGAGCTTTACAGCCCTTTACAGCTGCACACATTTCAAAGGAGTAAGTTATGATAAAACAAATAAATAAATTACATTTTTATAGATCCCAGAAGGGCACTCTAGTTTACAATGGCAAACATATGCACATACATAAATACATACATAAATACATACACAATTACACTAAATAAAGAACAATTTTACAAACATGCCATGGCTAGTTGCCACTGTGTAGCACCCTGATCCAGTCACTGTTTGTATGAGTTTGAGTGAGTACTGATTATTGAGCTTTAATTTGTTTGTTTATTTCAGTTAGAGGAAAACGCATTGGAATAATAACTATGGAAAAGGAAAAAAAAACAACTTTCTTTGCTATGCTTGGAATCCTCAGAAAATAAACTAAACCTGTGGTAGAAAATATACAGAAGCCATAGATGACTTGAAAAACCCTTAAATTGTGTTCTGACGCTGTGGAATCAGGCTCTCGTCAACTTTTGGGCAAGGAGAGTCATTTGTATCATCTGAAAGCTTGTTCATTTGTCTTACTTTTAAATAAATATCCATTTATCTTGAACAAGAAATGAAGGAGGTGGGGATCACCTTGTTTCACAGGTAAAATTAATGAGAAAATGGCTGTCAATGAGTTACTTCCTTAGCTTGAGAGTCCGTGGAAACTAAAAATTTACTTTTTGCATTTACTCAACATTTTTCAGAAAAATCCACAAAAGAAATGTGTTCTTTAACGGCCATGAAAGGTGTTGAGCCAAAAAACGAAATTCGATTTAAAAATTCACAAACCTGCACAAAAACGCCGGTTTCTTCACTTTGACTGTCTTGACGGGCACCTGATTTCACCACGCTGCCTCACAACTTATAAAAGACAAAAATTTCACAATCGAAAAAAAAAAAGATTTCCCTATATCATGTCTTTCTTGGCACATTTTACTTCTTTTTTTTCCACAATTGAAACAAGAGAGCTCTCTGATAAGTTTCATTCTCTCGCTTTGAAAAATGTTCCCTTTTCTCCAAAACTACATCATCTCTTATTTGTTCTTGTTGATGTTAAAAATTATTCCCTTTTTTTTTTTCAAAACTAGACCATCTCTCATTTGTACTTACTTGTCTGTGCTAAATGGCCTATAGAAGACTTAAGTGTGGGAGAAGTGTCGAGAAGTAAGAGATACAGTTTAAAACACAAACCTCGCCAAGAAGGGAGCATCACAAACACAACCTCACAACCCAGTATCACAACAGACAGCCAAGAACATCATCAAATGCAACACCAGGGAACAGTGGCTGAATGGATGGGGGAATGGGCAAAACTGGAAGAACTGTATTTGCACACATGACAGCCCCCAACTCTAAAGATGCAATAAATTCCCTGAGTAGAAGAGAACAAGTCACGACAATTCCCAACAGTCACAACAACAACAACAACAACAACAACAACTACAATTACTACCTAAATAGGATCCGCAAGGATACCCCACCCGACTGCCCGTTGTGCGACTGCCAGGATGAAACAGTACCACACCACCTCTTTAACTGCCCAGCACTTTGTGACCTGCGTAGCACCTACCTACCTGCCTCCCCAGACACATCGGAAACACTCTATACAGCGACAAAGCACAGCTGATTAAAACCTGTCAATTCTTTGCCATATCGACAGACCGAAGGGCTAGATCTAGAACCCAAATGGCCGCTGGATCGGAAAAGTAAAGTAAAGCAAGTAAACACAAACCTCCAGAGAGATGCCGTGAATGACGTCCACCGGGTCGACAATGTTGCCCTTTGACTTGCTCATTTTGCGACCGTGGGCGTCTCTGATCATCGGATGTAGGTATACCTGGGGGGAGAACAAGTGGAGAATGACTTTTTTGTTCTCTCTATCAACAGAATTATGTCATTTAGTTTTAGTAAGAGTTTTACGGCCCTTGCAATACAATAAGGTCATATAAGTGCCGAAGATTAGAGGTGTTACAAAGGAGTAACAAACATTAAAAAGGAGAAGGAGAGATCAGGATGATAGACGTTTGATATAAAAGAAGGAGCATGTCAAGAAAGTATGTATGTATAGTATAAGGTTTTACAGCGCTCGCAACTGCTAAGGTCATATGTCAAGAAGGTATCAAAGATCAGGTGTTGCAAGAGGAGAGTAATAGGCACAAAACAGAAGGAGGAGAGATAAGGACGACATATTTGATAAGAAAAAAGGAGCAAACCACGTCAGAGCAATCGCCAACCGCCCACTAAATGGTCTCTGAGGTGACATCACGCACACGAACCCATCAAATGGACGCAACAAACTTATCAACTTGTTCAAAACCCAATAAAAGTACAGTCATAATCAACAATACAACATCAGATAACGCAACAAATAACAAAATTACATCAAGTGGGACTGGTTTTGGTGCAGTGTATGTGATAAGGCTCTCACATTTCTGATTGCCGAACCTGGGTCAGTTTTAGTTTTAGTAAGAGTTTTACGGCACTTGCAACACAATAAGGTCATATAAGTGCCGTCAGTAAAAGGAAATTCAAGATAGTTTTAGTTTAAGTTGCAACACAATAAGGTCATTTGTGAGACATCACGGTGGAATCAGGCATGCATTCGTCAAAATAACAAAAACTTTTCCGGCCAGTTGGGAAATTTTTAGCAAAATTAGTTTTTTGGTTCAACACCTTTCATGTTCATATAATATCCCATGTCCATGTGTATTTGACTGAAAAACGTTGATTAAAGGTATACAATATGTAATTTTTTTAGTTTTCAAGGGCTCTCAAGCTATTGAAGTTACTGAACTCTGAGACCACACGACACGACCCCATTTCCTTCAATCGCAAATATCTCAACCTCTATTTTAGAAAGACCTGTATTTTTTCCATTTAAAACAAGGAAAATGAATAAGCTTTTAGATGATAGCAATAACGCCCAATGCCCAAAAATTGACGAATGCCTGATTCCACCACATCGCAACACATTTAAATTTCCTGAGATTAGAGGTGTTACAAAAGAGTAACAAATACAAACAAGAAGGAGAGATCAGGGTTATAGATGTTTGATTAGGAAAGAGGGAGCAAACCACACAACAAGCACCAACCAACCACCTAAAAATTCAGAATAGAGTTGGCAAGCGAGCGAGATACAATCAAAATGTCAGTAGGAACATTCACTAAACGTTTCACTCACATCCTTGAAGGGAAGGTCTCCGAGCAGCGTGAGGCCCATGGTGACCATACGGGCCACCCAGAAGAACAAAATGTCGTGTCCCGTCTCCAGCAGTGTGCCTGGGTAGAAAACCTTCACGTCATCCGTCTGGAACCAAAAGAAAAGAATAAAGATTTTTTTTTAAAATACGAACAGTTAATAGTGTAAAACGACACACTACCATATTTTTTTTTAAGTCACAATATAACATGAAAGAAGGTATATGTTTGTTTCTTCAAAAAAAGTTTTAAAAATAAAGGAGGTGGGGGAGGGGTGGGGACGGGCACAATGAAAAGAATAACCGAAACCCCAAAGGTCCATATGTGAGGCAGCGTGGTGGAATCAGGCTCTCATCAATTTTGGGGCATGTAGAGTTATTGGTATCATCGTAAAGCTTGTTCATTTGTCTATATTTGGATGAGAAAAATATCTATTTATCTTGAATACAAGTCGAGATATTTGCGAATGAAGGATGTGGGGGTCACCTGTTTTCAGATGTAAGATTAGTGACAAAATGGCCGCCAAACATTAGTTATTTCCTTAAGAGTCCGTGGTAACTGAAAATTTACATTTTTGTGCCTTTAATCAACGTTTTTCAGAAAAATCCATACAGAAATGAGTTCTATAATGGGCATGAATGGTGTTGAGCCAAAAAACAAAAATTTGAAAAAAATTCACAAACCTGTGGAAAAGTGCAAGTTTCTTCACTTTGATTATTTTGACGAGAGCCTGATTCCACCACGCCGTCTCACATATGCCTTACACAATTATAGAAATTTGCGACAGCTTACCTGATCAGGCCATCCAAAGACGGAGAAAGGGAAGAGAGCGGAGGAAAACCATGTATCAAGAACATCTTCATCTGAAAAGACCAAAAAAAAAGACAGGTCGTCAAGTTTGACACAGGCTTTCAAAAAAATCACATCAATTACAGACCTGTAAATGTATCTGCGCAGCACCATGCCGAGAGCTGAAAGCCCAAGAACAGCTAAATGGACCACTTTGTTTGTTTGTTTGTTTGTTTGTTTGTTTGTTTGTTTGTTTGTTGGAGTAAACAGAAGCACATCAACACAATGATGGTCATTTAGTGCTGGGAAAAAGTAAGGCAGACAGACAGACAGACAGACAGAAACAATGAAGGGAAAGTAAAGAATTGACTACTACAACAACAACAACAACAACAACAACAACAACAACAACAACAAAAGCAACAACAACAACAGCCTCAATTACTTCTTATATTCAATTGGAACGAGGGATATCTCATAATATTCCAAGCTGTATCCCGCAATACATCAACACAAACCTCTGGTCAGGGTGATGTCACTGGGGTCAACTTTAAACTTCTCTGCTGCCTTCTGTCTGGCCACCTCCTCAGACTGACCGCTGACCCAGTAGTTCCCATCAGTGTCCTGTGGAGCCAAGAATGAGAGATCACATTCACTTCATAGGTCACTGTTAAGAATAGTATTGGCTTAATGCCCCTTGACACATTAAAGGGTAGTTACCAGGCTGTCTTATCTGTGAAAAAGTTCAGTTTTGGGGAACTTCAAAAGCTGATATTCACAGGAAAAAAAAATTGGTTCAAGACGGAGAAAAATGACGTACTGAAAATCACAAAATCTAATCTGCGCGTTAGATGGTCTTTAATTTTCAAAGAGGTCATACAAAGGTAGTAAACAGGTCAGAAGTCACTGCATACTTTTCATAAATATTTTTTCATAATTCAGATAACAGTATTTTTTTCACAATTTGTTGACGTAGAGAAAATTTTAAAAATCAAAACTCTAATCTATATTTATGCTGGTGAGATGTACTATGTAATAATAGGATCATATTTTTAGTAAAGAGAGGTATATGTCTTATCCCCCTATGTAAACACTGGAAGGTTATTCAAGAGCTGGGACCTCCATCTTTTTTTTTGGGTTTAAGTTTGAGTTTCATGGCACTTGCAACACAATTAGTTCATAAAGGGACTGAAGATTAGAGTTGTTACAAGAGAGCAACAAACAAACAAAATCAGGAAGAGAGATATATGGATGACAGATGTTTGATAGGAAAGAAAGAGCAAACCACACCAGAGCACCCGACAACTACCCACAAGTCCATCTCTGATATGACAGGGACTCCATCAAGCTGATCTGGCAACGGATTTCAGTGAAAATAATCCACCCCC